ATATGAGGGATGCAATTCATAGGTATCAGACTGATGAGAGTGTAGCTTTTTCACACTGTGTATCATCAGACTTCTCTGACGATAAGCAAATGAGCAGAGGTGTGGCTCTCGTTTTTAGAGAAGAGTTTGGTAAGCCCTGTCAAACTGATTACTGTTATGAAAACCTCACATTCCAAAAAACCAAGTATGGAGCTACAGTATATAGCCTTGTCACCAAGCCCAGATACTACCTTAATGCAAATAACTTTCCGCAATATAACAGCTTGTATGATGCCGCTTTTTCACAACTAACAGAAGATTTTAAAACAAAAAAGCTAAAAACACTCATCTGTTCACCGATGGGCTGCTTCCGGGACCGGATTACACCTGCTCATTTTGCTGAAAATATTAAAAAATTCCAGCAAAATACCGGCGCTTCAATCATTATTGTAACATACAAAAACAGCTTCAAGTACCTGGGGAAAAAACAGCTAGATCGTATGACACAACCCAACCTGAAGGCACCATATGATACATCACAGCATCCAACTACTGCAGACCAACCCCCAACTCTCACACAACAGTTAACGCCTCCTACTCAGCCATCATCTCAACATCAACTGTCTCTTGAAAAAAATGAAGAGTCTGTGAGTGCTTGCAATAATGATAAAAGTTCCATGATCTCAGATGTGTTGAGTGAAAGCAAAAGCTCCAAAAGTGAATCACATGTCAGTGTAGGAAGTAGTAGTCCTGTTACTATCAACAACCTGTTAAATTCTAGTATTAATAGTAATTTTTTAGTAATAAGTTAGACAACCATCACAATAAACCATCACATGATATTGATAAAACTAAGATAAATGAATTCAGTATTTTTCACCAAAATATAAGGGGTTTTAAATCAAATGTTGATTCATTAGAGATAACATTAGCTGAAATAGATCCAAATGTAGTCGTGTTGAGTGAGCACAAACTGACTCAAACATCCATAGAGAGAATTAATATTAAAGGGTACAACCTAAATGCACATTTTGCTCGCAGTAACAGCCGTGGTGGGGGGGTAATCATTTTATCAAAAACTTTTATTAAATCAAAAGAAATCATTTTAGAAGAAATAAATCATCTATTATCTGAAACAACATTTGAATGTTGTTTAGTAGAATTTCAAAAGATACTACCGCCCAAAAAATCTAAATTTTTGTTAGTTGGCCTATATAGAAATCCTATTAAAAAAACTGAAGTAGAATTTATTGATAAAATAAATATTTTGTTGGGAATACTTTCTCAAAAATACCAACACATAGTATTAATGGGTGATATAAATATCAACATGATGAATTTTGAGGATGGTAATAGAAATAAACTTAACAATGTTGTTCTTGCCAATGGTTTCCAGTCAGTTGTTAATTTTCCCACAAGAATTACTGAAACAACAAAAAGCACCATAGATAATATTTTTACTAATATAAATAATGCCTATTTCGATGTAATTGGTTTCAATACTCAGCTGTCAGACCATGATGGTCAACTCTTTGTAATAAATAGTAAAAATGATAGTCCTGATAATGCTGTATATCTTGAATATTCTAGGAACTTTAGCACTGCAAATATAGATCACTTTATTGAAGTTCTTAGCCTTGAAACTTGGCTTAATGTATTTTTTGCTCCAGTTGAGTCAAAGTATGATGTATTTCACCAAACTTTTATGTATTATTTTGAGTTGTGTTTTCCTAAGAAATTATGTAGAAAATATAGACATAGAAGCAGGTGGTTTACTGAAGAGCTAAAGATTGAAAAACAATCAATTATTGAGTTTGCTAACAATGCTAGAATGTTAAAAAGCAAAACCATGTACAAACAACTAAGACAGAAGAATAAAATGTTTAGAAATAAGGTTACAGCTGCAAAAAAACTATATTATCAAAATAAAATAAACAATTCAAGTAACATGAACAAAACCAGCTGGCAAATTATTAACTCTGAAGTCGGTAAGGCAAAAGCAGATAACCACATTACTAGTGTTCATATTAACAATCAATGTTGTTCAGACCCTTATGTTATATGTAATTCATTTAACAATTATTTTACTGATTTGGTTGACACAAACATTGTTCCTAATTTGGATTCACTTGTTGGGGATGTAAAGGACAGTGTAAAAGTAGTTGAGTCAGATTATATAATTCCAGGTTTTCATTGTATACCTGTTGATGAGAAAGAGATAGACAAAATAATAAGTCATCTTAAAAACTCATTTAGCACCGGCTATGATGAGGTCCCTGTGGTGCTCATCAAAAAAGCAAAATTACCCCTCAGAAAACCTATAGCTCATTTAGTAAATTCTTCCTTTGTATCAGGCATTTTTCCTAATAAACTAAAAATTTCTAAATTAATTCCACTATTCAAAAAAGGAGATAGATATGAATTATCAAACTACCGTCCAATTGCTCTGCTTCCGGCCATGTCCAAAATATTTGAGAAAGCCATGTACAACCGTTTATATAGCTTCCTGGAAAGTAATCACCTTTTTGAGGACTGTCAACATGGATTTCGAAGTGGTAGATCAGTTGTGACAGCTGCTACAGAGTTTTTAGAGTCAGTTATTGATTGTTTAGATGCAAAACAAAAGGCTCTTGGCATTTTCATGGATTTAACCAAGGCATTTGACTCTATAAACCACAATCTACTTTTAAATAAATTGTCAAGCATCGGAGTAAAAAATAAATCTCTTCAATGGCTAGAATCATACATTTGTAATAGAAAACAATTTGTAGAAACTATCCAATTCAATAATCAAATGAAAATTACTCACAAGTCAAAAATTAGAACTATTAAACATGGTGTACCACAGGGATCTATCTTGGGTCCCCTTCTATTCATTTGCTATGTTACAAACCTACCAGGGCTGACTAAATCTAGCAAACTTTACCTTTATGCAGACGATGTAAATCTTACAGTTACCGCTAATTCTGAAGAGGAAATTGAAAAGACAGCTAATGCTAATCTAGATATACTTTCAAATTTTTTCCAAAACAATCAGTTACTTTTGAATCCAGATAAAACAAAGTTCATAAATTTTGAGACCCGTCAGACAAGACTTTCAATTAATCCTTCACTAGAAATTAATCAGAAACCTATTGAAGAATTAGAAAATATTAGATTCTTAGGATTTGAAATTGACAAAAATTTAACTTGGAATTCTCACGCAAACAAAGTAATAAAAAAAACTGTATCTGGTCTATTTGCATTAACTAGATTAAAAAATCTTCTTGATCAAGAAACATTAAAATCAATATACTTTTCGTACATACATTCTGTTATTTCTTTTGGAATATCTCTGTATGGCGCTACATCTATCAACAACTTAGAAACAATCCTAAAATTACAAAAACGAGCTATAAGAATTATTTTGGACCTTGACTCGAGAACTTCAAAAGAGCATTTTAGATCATTAAAAATAATGACAGTATATGGATTGTACATCTATGAAACAGTTCTATATGTTAAAAACAGATTTTCTCAATTGGCGTTAACTGGTGAACACCACCACTACAATACCAGAAACAAAACCAACATTGCTCTAAACCGCCACAGATTAGAACTTTACAGTAAAAAACCAAGTTATACCGGCTCCAAATTTTACAACAAAATTCCAAATGAAATTAAATCGGCAAAAAGCATGGTCGAATTTAAGAGGGGTCTTAAAACATTTCTCATCAACAAGGTATTGTATTCCCTTGATGAACTTTAAAATTTTTAGAAGGAGTGTTAATTTGTAATTTGTATAAACTTATGTTAGATTTTAAGAACTTTGTATCCATAGAATATAACATTGTAATATAAAAACATTTAAGAGAATGACACTATTCATGTACTTTGTGCTTCAATGAATAAAGAAATATTGAATTGAATTGAATTGAATTGAGTAGATGATGATGGTTTTACCAAGAACTTGGGTAATGATAAGAACGCCACTGTGATTGTTGGTAATGATCATATTATAGTCGGGACCACGTAAGTTTGCAGTTGGTGGCAGCCAATTACAAGACAAGGCTAGTGCGACGTTGCCACATCGCCCGTTAACAACACTAATTAAATTATACTAATATATTTAAAAAAAAGCAATATAAAAAAGCAATATATTAAAATCAGCTGGTATTAACAGATTTGGCAACACCACACGGTTCTCATTGGTTCATTCAAAACCATATGGTAAATAGGCTCCTCCCTCAACTGCAAACTTACGTGGTCCCGACAATAGTGCCGCAGTTAAGGATTATAGTTACAATGGATTTGTGATAAATGCGCTTTACCGGTACACTAAATTTACTTATCAACTTATAATAATATTAAACCTACTTTAATACCTCTACCTTTTTTAAACTAGAATGTTTGTAAAATGAACAGGAAGGCATTCCTATCAAAGACTGATGATAGTATTGATAGTGTTTAATTTATAAGGGGTGTTTCTGACATTACAATTAAAAGATTTATCTTTAATAGTTCAGGTAGAAAAATGTCGGCTAGTATAACAGATTTTTCAATTATTTCTGTATTTTATAAATACTAGACGTTGACATTTTTTTACTTGGCCCGAAGGGTACTACATTTGTAATAAAACTTCCACAGACCTCTACTATGATGGAATTAAAAGAAAATTAACATATATCGTGAAATATTGTGCCATATTTCAACTAACTTCTAAATGCAGAATAATAAAACATTTTTCTACCGATTGTAGCTAATTTTTTCTTTCATTGAGAGATGCACGATAACAAAGTTGTCTCAATTCAGAAGTACTGAGTAAAGAGCTAATTGGGTTGTAAACAAAGCATATGTTTAAGAGAATTTTGAATAACATTATCTTTACATATATTTTTAATTTAGTTGTGTGTTTCTCAATACAATTAACTTAATAAATAGCTGCCTTTTTTAATTTATTCTACATTTCAATGTGTTATTATAAAAGTAACAGTTATCATCGGATTAATTGGTTTAGAATAAATATTGCATTTTTTGTAGGCCTAGCACAAAACTGTGTCGGCTTGGGCAATCTCCCAAACAAATGAAACACCATCGAGCAATGCTAGGGCCCCTGATACCTAAAAATATCACATATCAGTGACCAAAGAAAAGTTATATATAGAAGCTTATGTTAACTTACACTTTGTGGAGGAATGTAGAAGTATGCAGGCAGAGTTGAAGTGTTTGTTAACGTGATGTCGGCAGTGTACTGGTAGTTTATGAAGGAAAAGCGAAAGACCAACTGAGGTGGGCTACACGTGACGGCAGCTACACGAGACTCATACACTAGCGACAGTGAGATGGACTCCAACAACTTGCTGTTCTTGTTTTCTGCCACCATTACACACAAGTGTTTACGTTCTGTGTTAGTGATCAAGGTAACCTGTGACAAAAGTGCATCCGCCTGGTTAGAAGTCCATTATATAATGTTTACAAATACTTCAGTTGTAGCTAGTTCAAATCTTTCCCCACACCTGTATAATAATTAACCCTTCCCGGACGGGTGACGGATATATCCGCCTAAGTCTTTGGCGATAAAGGACGGGTGGCGGATATATCCGCTTATGGTTTTTGATGTTCCGGACGGGTGACGGATATATCCGCCTAAGTATTTGGCGATAAAGGACGGGTGGCGGATATATCCGCTTATGGTTTTTGATGTTCCGGACGGGTGACGGATATATCCGCCTAAGTCTTTGGTGATAAAGGACGGGTGGCGGATATATCCGCTTATGGTTTTTGATGTTCCGGACGGGTGACGGATATATCCGCCTAAGTATTTGGCGATAAAGGACGGGTGGCGGACATATCCGCTTATGGTTTTTGATGTTCCGGACGGGAAGCGGATATATCCGCCTTCTCTTCAGTCAGACTGGCAGGTGCTTGAGCAGTAACCAGATGTTTCTGCGTTCACTCACGCACTCCCCCTCTCTCCCGCGCCTACCCTTCTTCTGCGCCTCCCCCTCTCCCGTGCACCCCCAACCTCTCCTACGCTCCCTTCAACTTTTCGCGCTCAACACTACGTTGTCTTTATTTATTGTTTACATATTGTTCTTTATTTATTGCCTAACGTTGTCATGGTCATATCTTTAAAGACGGGTGGCGGATATATCCGCTGCTTTTCTACTCATACACGGACGGGTAGGGGATATATCCGCATAGTTAAAAACGAGTAAAAAATTATTTTGTCAGTATGAAGTGTTCCATTGTGTTTATTTTATTTTATGTATACTTGTATAACAAAACACAAATAAGAAAAAATAATTTTTATTTTTTCCTATTATTTTTTCCCGTTCTATGTCACGATTTCGCCTGTCCGGGAATGGTTAATTTAATCAAAGTAGCCGTTAACAATGTCAGGAAAAATTGAAAAATTAAAGCTCACACCAAGTTTGAATCTTGTTCTGTTATTAAGTCTTTGTGGGAAAGGGGGTTAACTTCTATTGTAATCTGTTGCCAGTTCATGGGATGTATTGAGAAACATGTAAACAAATTAAACGTGCATAAGTGGCCAATGGTGTTAGCAGAAGGCTGTGACCATTTGTTCAATGGCAGCGAGTATCCACCAGTTCCCATCAATATCAAGACATTACATTTGATTGCACATGAGTATATGTATTGTATGTGATTGTGATTATATTTGAGAAAACTTTGCTTGCAAATTGGAGTGTTTAAGACAATCAGGGTTTACCCATTGGAATGCTGTGTGACATCCCTAATCAAATTGGCTATCTCGTGTCATACCACACAAGCAAGCATGTCAAATTTTGCTATAAATTTGACCATTGTCTCAAACTAAACTGAAAAACTTCTGCAGCAAAGCAAAACATAATACAAACTGAACAAATGTTTACAACCACCTACAAAACTCTCTTGAACCCTTACACACATACTCTTTACCCAAAAACTGTTTCTTGTTCACTAACAGCAACAGGCAATGGTCCTCATAGTCCCGACTTCACATCTGAGGACAGTAGTTCTAATCCAGAAATATTTTACACATTTCTTCAGGCTAGTTCTAGAGGGTTGCGGCACTATCATCACATAGGTAAAATTCATTGGTGATTGGCAACATTTGAGCCCGGGATCTTGGGCACCGAAGCATGCGCTCTAATACTAGACCAGCTCGCTCCCAGTGATTTACCCATTGAACTTTAGAAACATAATCATGACACGCGATTCATACTTGGCATGAGTGCAATTCCCCCCCCCCCATCGTTGTCAACTACTACGTCCAAAGTAATTGTCGTACAGGAGTAGGGACAATGATAAACAAAAGGACAATTTTTAAATTTACAAAAACTACATTGCATTTACCACTCAGCCTTACCTGGATGTGAAGGGTGGTGTTGGGTTGGATGACACCAGAGTCTGGTGAAATGGTGAACTCCTGACAGTGACTGACCAGTCCGGGCTTGTGTGGGACGGAGGCAAACTGTTGACAAGTGATGGGTGGACTGCTGCCGTCACTCGGTACACGGAGAGCAAACTCTACTGGCACCTGGGACTGGTTCACCAGACCTACACTCAATGTCTGCGGGAACCCTGACAAACAACACAATGAGCCCAGCAAGACTCCCAACACAATACATAGCTACCGGAGAGACCATACGCTAAAGAAACAGAATTTCTCATGTACTTACCCTACTAATCAACTCAAACACAAACATTCTACCATTTTTCTGGCGATTTTACTATCCACAATGAATCTATATGATTAAGTTTATTGGCTATTATCTATTATCGAAGGTATAACACTTCTTGTTTATATATGATAATTTTATTAAATGCATTTTTTTTTGTTAACAGAAAATTTGAAATTAAATATCCGGAAAGTAAATAAAGATACGTCTTATAACACTTAAAACATATATTTACGCTTATACTGTTACTCACAAGACAGTAAAAATACAAAAGATGGTAAGTGGTGATCGATTTCGATTGGACACTCCAATCATCATCAGACCCAATAGGCGAATGGGAAAAATAGGCGAAACATTCGCCTATTGGGTCTGATGATGATTGGAGTGTCCAATCGAAATCGATCACCACTTACCATCTTTTGTATATTTACCGTCTTGTGAGTAACAGTATAAGCGTAAATAGATGTTTTAAGTGTTATAAGACGTATCTTTATTTACTTTCCGTAAATTTAGTAACACGTACAATGCTGATCAAGAAGTTATTAAATATCCCAAAAGATTATGTTTTAGAGGAGAAAAAAGTGATTTTGACAATGATCAAGGTGGTTCACAAGTGTAATGATTGTGACTTTTTCAGATATGAATGAACTAAGAAGGGACTATCCAGTTTATGAACTTAAATTTAAAACTTTTACTTTATTATATGTTCATTTTTCATCCCTAACCTAATGTGTTGAAAAACGTGATGTACAAACGTACAAGAATAATAGGTATCTAACAAAATAAAACAGATTAAGAATTTTTGTTTGTTTGTTGAACATTTTTAATAACAGATTTTTTATATAAAACAACAAAAACTTACCAACAGCTACACTTCCAAAATCCAACTTAGCACAATCAAACGATATTGTGGGATTCACCACATTGCCTCTAAAAATATTTATAGAACTCAAAATTCAGACTTGGTACATTTATTTTAAAAATGTTATTTAATATGGTAACTTTTAGATGTAGAGCACAAATAGGTAAATAACATTTAAAAAATGTTAATTATACTAAGGCATATTTTCTCATAAGATACAATACTATGCTATCATCAAGCTAACTCATATATTCACAAATAGTTCAAGAATTATAATTGGCTAGCTCAAAACAGTTTCATCAAGCGATCTAAATATTGAAAAAAAAAACACATTAATTTAAAACAGACTTGAATAGTTTAATATCTTTAAGGGTTGGATAAAATGGGTGTAAAACAACAAACATTTATAAATAATATAAATTAACTAAATTATTACACACTTACAGAACTGAAATAGTGTTTCAAAACCAAAACCATCAGATGAACACAAATAATATTACAATTAATTATTAAGATATAAGCTGAATATTTAAATTTTGATGCTTTATTGTGTATACTCATTGAATGTCAGGAGTTAAATTAATCATTTTAGACAAAAGATGCGAATTCACATTAAAGAATTTTTTATTAAAGACAAAAAATTGTTGATTTAGTTTTTACGATTATAAGATTAAAGGATTTTGGATATAAAAATGGAACTTACTTCAACATGACTCTCAAAACTTCCTCAGACTGAGTGATTTTGAACAAAACGTCTTCGACAAAAGAGCCTGTCCTTCCACTGCAGAAAGATATTATGAAAGACTTTATTTCATAAGGCATCAGACATTGTACGGGAGGCTGAACTGTCAAAACTCCACCAAACACTGTATTGGTGAGCACATGCTCCACACGGCAAGGGATATCTCCCTTGTTGGCAGCAACTATCTGTAAAAAACCAAGCAAACCTTTTAAGAAATTGAAAAATATTTGGACAACTAACTTACAACAAATTATCAAACTGCAATATTCAATTACATCCCGTATAATATGTCAAGTCATTGGAAAGGAAGGTTGGTGCAGTTGCTTCCCCTAGAGTACATTTGGATTTGCTTAAGATATTTCCGATACTTGTTTGGAAACAATTAAGTATAACGAGCTATTTATAAGATGTAAATAATATTGATTGAGCAGTATTCTATTTTAATGGATGCCCTCTTAGAAGCAAGACTTGAGTATTCAAAAATGTGCACATTTTTTTATTGAAAATTTTAATACAAAGTGATTGATGACAGAAAAGTTATATATTCCTCGCTTGAAGTTTTAGCTTTAGCCGTTTTAACAAGTACTGCAATAAGTCCTTTATTGTAGGAATTAATAAGCATTAATAAGGTTACTCATATTAATTAATTAGATACAATATTTTACAGGGTTAAATCTTACATCTTACAGGGTTAAGATGGTTAGATCTATTTACAAACCGATAGAACATTATTAGCAGTTCTGCACCAATCTTTCTGATACTACTGTATTGACCATTGGCTTAACTAAAATTCCTCTAAATTTACAAGAGAAATATTTTAGCACAACAATATTGCTATAGCAATTTCGTGCTAAAAAAGGAAACGTGATTTTTGCATAAAAAGGACAGTATGACCCATAACAAAGCTGAAAAACATCAATTACAGTAGCCAAACTCATATTGTGTTTATAAAATGTTTACCTCATAGCTCTGAGTAAGTCCAAGAAAGACAGGACCTATGTCCAAAGACCTCAAATTCAGTTGGACAACTGGTCCAAGACCTACTCCCCCCATCCTTAGAGGGAGTCTATGAGCTACACCAGTGGCATTGCAGTAAGCTGTACAACAGAAGGATCCCACTGTGTGAGGGGAGAACACCACTGTCATGAAACATCTACCTCCAGGCCACAGCTCACCTTCCTGTAACAACAATTGGCACAATAAGTTTTGTTATGTTACCTCAGTTTAGCTGACTTCACAATTTGCTATTCGTTAAAAGATTTAACGAGACATGATACTTGGGTTGTCTGTAAATTATCGTCTCCATCAAGGTTCCGTCGCAAGCCAAGTGAGCAGTGAGCAAGATCAAATGTAAGACGCTACATTAAATTGTGTTATGTTGATAATAGTTCTTGTTCTTTACTTTACTGACTGCTATTCTAACCGGTCCCCACCTCTATGGGATAAAAATGTATTATGTATGATTCCATTATCTGTGATACTGATAAGGTTTTATCGTGGGAGGAGGGAAAACCCCCATTTGACGAATATGAGGCAAAAAAGTGATTTGACGTATAAAATGAGCATTTGTGGCTTGTGGAGTTCACAGAAGGCCTAACATAATGCAATTACAAAAAGGCACGCAAGCAATGGGTGTTCATCCATTTTCAATGAGACAGTAATTAAATTAAAGGAAACATTGGTTACCCCCCCTCCCCCCACCCTTTAATCTGTCCCTGTGCTCGATCTCTCGAGCTTGAAGGCTAGGCTCGGCATGTCTCGCCCACTTCTAGTTGGTATACATCTAGATTACTTGGGTAACTTTTCATAGGGCAGTTTCATATGTTCAGAGTCTCATTTTTAATATATTAAGACCTCTTTATTGATTTAACAAAACTTACCAATGGACTGATCTCAAAATTTTTATTCCTAAAACAATAATCTTTGGGAGTCAGTAGTTCAACTTGGTCTTCCATTATTCTTGAATATATATTTGCATGGTTATCCTCTGTTAATATTTCGTTGTACTGAAGTTGCACACATCTTTTAGTTTCATTTAACTTGACGTTTTCAAAACAATTTTTCAACCTACAATAAAATTAACATTACTATTTTCCTCCTTGTCATTGGACACCACTGTATCAAGAGTGTAGCTTGCCAAATAAAACAGTTAACTTTTATTCATTTTAAATATTTGGAAAAGTTTGTTTGAGATTAGTTTTAAAATTACGTAAATATGAAAACTAGCAATGAGAAGGTGCCTCTTCATGCACCAGAGAATTTTAATAAATGTCAAAAGATAATCGTTTGGACATGAAAGTACTTTGCTCAATCTAACCTACTTATAAAAGCCAAACATTCAGAAAAATTTTTTTACATATGTACGAATCCTCAAACTACAATTACCTTCCAAGCTGTCCCAGCTCCTGGTCGATATTCTCATACTGATGCCAACAGAACTTGATTGTTTCATGTGTGTCGTTATACAAGGTAACTTTCTGTTCTCGCTTCAAACCCATGAAAGTATCATTGAAACTAATTTGTTCTGGTTCCAACCAAATAGCACCATTCCTTGTAGAAGCAGCAAGATCAATACACAACTCTTCCCCTTAAAATTATAAAAACTTAGTTAACAGACATATCAAGTATACATAATATTTTTATTTTTTTTTTACTGTTTTTATTTTATCTAGACTTTTTCGTTTTCTGATATATATTTTTAGCGCTTTAGTAATGATATCCAAACTTGGGTTATGATCAGATTTAGTATCAACCTTTTGTGATTTCAAAAGGCAACTGTGTTAAGAATTTAATCAAATGTCTTAATGGTCATAGTTGGCAGGAAAATTTACAAGAATTTATATAACTTATAACTGATAGTGTATAAATAGGTTCTGGTAGTATTTAAATTAAATTAAATTGAACTTAGTGTCGACTTAATACCTGATTCAAATTTCACAAACATCCTTTTTAGGAAACTATCCAATAGATCACTTTCAAACTGTATCGTCAACATAACTATTTTGCCAACATGTAGAAGGCATCTGGTTGGTGACACAGAAAATGGCCTGAAAAAATCAAACAAAAAGTCATAAATTAAATTTTAAAATAATGAGTATGACTTCCATTAGCACAATGTTAATTTGTATTATAGTCTCTAAATTAAATAAATCAATAGTTCCTTCTGCATCATGTCTACATGCACAGTAATGTTAAGGAATATATTAATAGACAAGCATGTTTTTTTAAAACCTTTTTTCTCAGCTCGTGTGCATCGCAGGGAAAATCTACGCAAACTGTTAGAATAGTTATTTGTGTAACTAGTGGTGAAAGTGGCACTTTGCTGCACACGAGAGCAATGTTTACGCACGAGCCGCAGGCGAGTGCGGAATGATCTCGAGTGCAGCAAAGGCCTTTTTCACTCGTGTTACACATTATATTTTTCCTACAGTCACTATAAAGCATATAAATAATTAGTCTTTCAAACACTATACAACACGTTTTTAGGTTCAGCTGGCAACACAAATGGTGCCCTAGAGAAAGTAGTACCCGCGGTCCGTATCACTCCGCTATTTTTCCTCGGCAAGAAATGTGCTCCGCGTTTTGAGAATATAGTTCCGTATGTTTTTGTAATTTGAAACGGTTTCCGCGCCTAAAAAAAATTCTTTAAAGGTATTTAAAAATGTTTAAAAGAAAAGTCCAGAAAGTTCAGAAATACCGAAACTATAAACACGAAATGACAGGTTAAATCGTAGTTATAATAGTCAATCAGCTGCTCATAGTATTATTATCTTTAAGTGTTGCCAACCTATTTCCAAGCGTACACGGACTACGTGCATAATAGAACCACGCTGTTTTGTGTTGTTTCGTTGGAATCCTGATGTGCGGCAAAGTATAAACCGTACGGCAAAGTATAAACCGTACGGCAAAGTATAAACCGTACGGCAAAGTATAAACCGTACGGCAAAGTATAAATATGCAGCAATTAGCAGCTTTCTGTACTATAAACAGTACAAGGAAGCCAACTTTGTCGGGTGACTGTAGGAAAAGATATTTTCCTGTAGGTGTGCAGAGTCGATTTATAAATTAAAATAGGCAAAAAAATAAGTGTGAAAAATGATTTAATTTTGTTTACCTATTAACATGGGCCTTTATGGGTTGCCATGCTGGTGACGAAATAACAACATGATATATAAACAGAAAATCAAAACAAATGGAATACTGCTACACAATTTTCACATGTTTTATTTACAGCCTGGGGTGAAAATAGAAGTATGTACATATTACATTATTTTTGGTTGAGTTTTCGACCACTGGCCGACTTCTAGTCTACCTGTATTGAAAAAATAAAGCATCCGGTAGCTATAAGGTAACATTATATTACGTTGTAGCTACCTATAGGCCTTTACTCAAAATGGCAGTTATAACATATGGTTCTATTTAGAAAAAGTAGCACGCTTCTTGCAGCACTCCCTGTAAGTACTACCAAAGTATCAAAGCATCCTCCCAGTGACGTAGCCAGGTAACATAGCCTTCTGGTCTTAAATATAATATTTTTTTGTTAAATTAAATGTAAAATTATATAATCATACTGTATTGACGTTGGGGTTGATTATTTTCAATGCCAAGAGAGCTAAAAAAAACCATTTTAGGGCCTACATATTTTTTAATTTTTTCCCAGACCCCCTTTAACTGGGGGTATGGTATACCCCCCAGACCCCCCAGTCGGTCGACCCCCCCTATTTTAAAATCCTGGCTACGTCACTGATGCTACTGTGTATACCAGTCTATTAGAAAAATACTGTCCATTAAATGATTACATTAAATTTATAAAAACATAGCTAAATAGTACAAATATGTAGCATAACCACATGTTATGCTGGTTAATCTTTAATGGGAGCTAGGCTATAGAAAGTTCCTTTAATATAGTTACTAAAAGTTCTTTGACTCAAGTCTTTTAACAAAATGCAAGCAAACATTGTTTACACAACACTTACAGTAGTCAAACACAATACTAACTAACTAGAATTTTACAGGAGAAATACCTACTTTTCACATGCAATATTAAAAGCAGCAGGAACATTTCCAATGTTTTTAACATACACAGTCTTCGTACATGGTATTTTCACCAAGGTTTCATTAAGATCCACAATGTCTGGAAAATTCACCAACGGTCTAGATCCTAAAGCTGAAATGTAAAACAATTGTTAAGACAAAATCTTTACACAAAAGATTAATTAGGATGCAAAAGCTCCAGACCAGTTAATTAGTATAAAACAAGAAGGATTGAGTTTTAAAAATACAAAAATTTAAGTGGAGAAAAAAAGTAGTCCTTTCACAGGTGTGGTGCACAACAGGTACTAACATGAATGTTTTCTGAGCTCCCCATGTAATACTCCACACTACAAGTCAATAGCTCTCTCACAGCGAATTTATCCACTGCACAATTAATGAAACAATATTTATGTTTTGAAATGAAGAATGTTGTACTGTAACAAATCTTTAATGTAAGTTTTATCGTTTCTTATGCGAGTTTCATAAATATACATACCCGCAATAGGAATATCAATTGTGTAACCATCTGTTTCCAATGAGAGGTAATCTAAATAATCTTGATCATCTATTGGAGAAAACTTGACCAGGAAGTGGACAGAGATACCAGGCGCAAGCTTAGACGTTACTTTGGACAAGTGTGTGACACAAAATGTGTGAGTTGGCCGGCTTTTTATCCTTATCTGTTTTGAAACCTAAAACAAACAAAATTAGATTAGGCCAACACGTACAGGATATATTATTTAAGATGAATACAGTAGACTCCCTCTTATCCGGACACCTTTTAACCGTACACCGGTTTAACCGGAGTAGATCGGCAGGAAGTGGGCGGTAGTGAAACGACCGTTCTCGTGAGAAAGATTTGAGACCAGTCATCAGGTCTAAATACAATGCTCTCCTAAACTTAAGTCAAATACTGTATACAGTATGCATTTAAACGGTCCGTTTTAATGAGTTTTTGGGGACGTTGGTTTAACCGGAAAACCGTTATCTGGACTGGCCTCGGTCTGGAGGAGTCCGGATAATAGGGAGTCTAGAGTCTACTGTACGAATGTTGAATGGTTGAGATGATAATGTTACTACATCACAGTCTAATCCTCTAGTTATTTCTTTAGGCATTATTAAAAGCCCAATTCAAGGACATCCCTAGGTCGACTATTCTCAGGATCGAACCGGCAACATTCCGGTTAGCAAGGGAACACCGTAACATTAGCTACATAAAGTTACCAAGAAAATTAGTAATACCAAAGGTTTTCATTTGTTTTTCTGAAGCAAAAAGAGTATGAAAATGTAAATTTGTAATTAAAATACCCTTTGATAGTTTTGTAACATTTACATGACACTTAACAAAAAGATTTTAGGGTAGAAAATGGGAAAACCCTCATAAACCAATAGTCCGATCATGCTGGTTTTCAAACTCATTTGAATAAATGTATGTTCAAAAGTTTTTTACCAAATTTCATCAAAATCGGAACATTTTGATTTATAATCTGCCCAGTTTTTAAAACCGGTAGTTCTAACCTTCCTAAAAATTGGCGTCCGATTGCGAACATATCTATCTTTTCAAAAATATACAAGCATGTTTTTGCGCAAAGGCTTCTTGATTTTCTATTAAAAAACAACCTTGAATGTAATGAACAATTTAGATTTGTAAAGGGGAAAGGTACGACTGATGCCACCGTTGATTTAATCACCAAAATAATCAGTGTGGTAAGGTAAATAATAAAAACAAAACTATCGGGGTATTTTTGGATTTTCAGAAGGCATTCGATTGCTTGGACCACAGTGTACTTTATGATAGGCTTAATTCTATCGGTTTAATCCACAGAAATAGAAGATTAAAAGGGTATTTATTAGGGATGGACGGGTCCCGAAATTTCGGGAATTTTTCGGGAAAAAAATATTCCCGATTATTGGGACGGGATTGCATTTAACTCGGGAATTTTTCGGGACGGGATTTGGTCCGATCGCCGGCGATTTTGCCGCTTCGCGAGTGCCGATGACGCCGCTATTGCGAGCGATAGGTCCGCGAACGCAGGAGACGAAGTCGTTTCGACGATTGCGCCGTGAACGCGGAGTCATAACGACGATCGCACCGTGACCCCAATTATTGGACCGACGATCGCGCCGTGAACGCGGAGTCATAACGACGATTGCGCCGTGACCGCGGAGTCATAACGACGATTGCGCCGTGACCGCGGAGTCATAACGACGATTGCGCCGTGACCGCGGAGTCATAACGACGATCGCGCCGTGACCGCGGAGTCATAACGACGATCGCGCCGTGACCGCAATTATTGGACCAACGATCGCGCCGTGACCGCGAGCCATACCGACAATCACCCCGCAACCACGGAGTCATACCGACGATCGCGCCGTGACCGCGAGTCATACCGACGACCGCGCCGTGACCGCGAGTCATACCGACGATCACCCCGTGACCGCGGAGTCATACCGACGGTCACGCCGTGACCACGGAGTCATATCGACGATCACGCCATGACCACGGAGTCATACCGACGATCGCGCCGTGACCGCGGGGTCATACCGACGATCACCCCGTGACCGCGGAGTCATACCGACGATCACGCCGTGACCGTGGAGTCATACCGACGATCACGCCGTGGCCACGGAGTCATACCGACGATCACGCCGTGACCGCGAGTCATACCGACGACCGCGCCGTGACCGCGAGTCATACCGACGATCACCCCGTGACCGCGGAGTCATACCGACGGTCACGCCGTGACCACGGAGTCATATCGACGATCACGCCATGACCACGGAGTCATACCGACGGTCACGCCATGACCGCGGGGTCATACCGACGATCACCCCGTGACCGCGGAGTCATACCGACGATCACGCCGTGACCGTGGAGTCATACCGACGATCACGCCGTGGCCACGGAGTCATACCGACGATCACGCCGTGACCACGGAGTCATACCGACGATCGCGCCGTGACCGCGGGGTCATACCGACGATCACGCCGTGACCACGGAGTCATACCGACGATCACGCCGTGACCACGGAGTCATACCGACGATCACCCCGTGACCGCGGAGTCATACCGACGATCACGCCGTGACCGTGGAGTCATACCGACGATCACGCCGTGGCCACGGAGTCATACCGACGATCACGCCGTGACCACGGAGTCATACCGACGATCACGACGTGACCGCGGAGTCATACCGACGATCGCGCCGTGACCGTGAGTCATACCGACGATCACCCCGTGACCGCCGTCATTTTGACGATAGCACCGTGACCGTGAGTCATTTTGACCGCGAGTAACAAGTTTTTACAGGTACCTGTAAATTGTTACCCATTTTTTAATTTTTATATATCAGTGCCACAAACGGTAAAGATTGATTTTGTATGCCTTTTTGGGTAACTGCAACACTCAAGACTTTCTTTTTATGCACAGAAAAAAATCCCGTCCCGTCCCGTCCCGAAAATTGGGAAGGAAATAAAAATCCCGTCCCGTCCCGTCCCGAACTAAAAATTCAATCCCGTCCATCCCTAGTATTTATAATCAAAAAAGTTTAACACAATCACTACTTTACTATATCTATCTACAAACAGATAACAAGGGAGTAATTTTAAGAGAGTAACTAAAATGTGTACAAACCTCTGAAATATTGCAGACTGTCACAGTTGCATTATACTGTTTTCCAGGTTGAAATGTTTGAAAAACAACAACAGGTGGATTGATTTTAAAATCTTTGAGGTCAATACCTCTCGAAAGAAAACTGCCATGTTTCTTCTGTGATAATTTGTTAAGATGCTCGATTCTTTGGTCAGTGCTTAACATCATTTCTCGTAAATAAACACTTGGCTTCAGCTGAAATAATTTTAAATGCCGGATATGTTAAATGTTTATACCATAAAAATCACATTCTCTAAATATAAAAATGGAGTAACTTTATGAATCATATTTCAGTCTCTTCACTTTTTGAAATAAAGATACACAAGAAATAATTACTGTAAAGTTATTTGTTTTCACTAAACTATTCATGTACTTGCTCTCAGACCCAGTGGCGGATCCAAGAGGGGGGGGGGAGGCGCAAAGAGGTCGACAGGCATATAATTTTTTACTGCATTTTATGTAAAAATTTTGCCATGGTCGGCCAAGACAATGACGATGTCCACACCGTGTGAAATGAACAATATTTTGCCACCATCGTGGAAGACGATGCTGATGCTCCGTTGCTGGGGTTATTCCTTGTCGGGGCGCTCTACCATGGACCTCTAGGTCTCGACCTAGTGGAACCCAGGTGGAGTGACGCTTAAACAAGCAGCCGGAATCCCTGGTTAGGATTGAGGGGCAACCCTCCTTCCGAAGGGTCTGCTTCGGCAGCCGGCGAGCCTGATGACCATAAGTCATCCGCCCATGATGTGCTAAAGGTTGATGCGTAAGCTTCGGCCTACATCATGGGGCCCGGGTATGTCCTAAAGGATAGGTACCGGGTATGCAGTCAGGGGGCTTCGGCTCTCATGACAAAACGAAATGGAAATGGAATGGAATGGAAATGGTTATTCCTTGTATTGCTGTGACCGCGGGAGACAATGACGATGTCTCCGCGGGAAATGATCAGGATTGTGCCACGATCATGGAAGACGATGATCTTGTTTCTGTTACCACGGGGGATATTCAGGATTTTATATTTGATTATATATTTTATATGGGATCGTGAAAGAAGATGATAACCGACGATAATGTCTACACGACCGCGGGAGATGTTCATAATTTTGCAACAATTAAGGAAGACGATGATATGGTGTAGTTACCGCGGGGTTTTTTTCGGGTTTTGCCGTGATCACCGGAGACAATGATGGTGTCCATACAAGTGTGGGAAATGAACAAAATTTTACCGCAATCAGCAAAGACCATGATAACGTTTCGGTGAATGTGGGAGTGGGAGATAATCAGAATTTAATGCGGAAGGAGACAATAATGTCTACAGGACCACAGGAATTGTTCATGATTTTGCCACGGGAATTGTTCATGATTTTGCCACAAGAATTGTTCATGATTTTGCCAAAATCCCGGAAGACGATGATGTTGTTCCATTGTACCACAGGGATTGTATTCAGGGGTTTATGTGTGAGGGAGGGGGACTTCACCTCTAATCTCGCCCCCCCTCCTCAATCTAAAGCTGGATCCGCCACTGTTCAGACCTGTATTAATGCTTAATCTTTTATCTTACTTATACTTGTAGCAATTTTAAGTGATTCAAATAAAAAAGAAATTCATTAAAAAATTCTGATATTTTTTCAGTTTTTGACTACAAGTAGGTTGTACAAAAATCAAATTGCAGGTGCAAGGGACTGCATTGATTTTGAATTTTAACCTGTTCATGAAATATTAATGAAACTTAAACAAACAAAAATAAGCATAGAATTTTACAAAATGAATCAAAACATTTTTTAACAGACCTGTTACTATAAGTTACTTTATAAAATACCTTTATGTTTGCTGACAAAATATATTTGATTTTATGTAAAGTTACCTTTGAATCACTTGTTGGTGATTCCCCCAAAAATAACTGAACAAATTTCATTGTATCATTCTTCGTGCAGTCCAAATTGAGAGTTTTTTCAGTTTTATGTAAATTTTCTGTAGGTTTCGACATGGTCACAGTCTCATTCAAATTGGTCTTCTTTCTTTTAACCTTCAATGGATGTTATCTAAATAAAACAAAACTCATGGTAAGTAAGACTACCTAATTTTGAGGAAAATATTTGGATCTGTTAGAGAGGGAGAAGGATAGAAAATTAGGCACAACAAAGAAATCAGAGAAATGTTCAACTTAGTTCCAGACATAGTAAGGAGAAGGGAAGATTGAGGAGAAGTAGGAGAGGAAATCTGTTGAAAGAAGTTGAAAGGATGGGAGTTCTGGGACGGGGGTGTATCCTGGTAACAAGATCAATATCTCCCTACTTAGGAGGTCCTGGCGATTGAGTGCTGAGCTAAATTCATCCTGCACAAGAACCTGAGGAAAGTGAACATACTGATCTTCTTAGACAGCCAAGCCACAATGTGCCCTGGGGTCTTGTATGACAATGTCACAAACAGTAAAGGTGTGAAAAATACCCACAAAACAACCTAGCAAGGCAGAACGAAGTAAACACCGCTTTTGTTCCGGACACTCAGGGCATGAAGGGAATGAGAAAGCTGATGCACTGGCCAGATGAACAGCTTACAGGGCCAGAACCCTACTACGATTAATTTGGTGTGACCAAAGTCTGAGACTAGGTAAGTTAAGGTCCAGAAGGCAGCGGTCTGGAGGACCAATCCAGGACAAAGGACCTCAAAAACACTATAGACCCCTCAAAAATGGATTGGAAAGGCTTTCTGGGCTTAAAAAGGGGGGGGGGCATCAGACTACTAGTGGGAATGAAAACTGGGCACGACCCTATTAAGGAAACACATTAGGCCTAGATCCATTGGAAAGGTCACGGACAGGCCAATGCAGATTCTGTGAAAATGAGGTGGAAACCTCTGAACACTGGTGGCTGGCCTTGGTCCTAAAAATGTTGAAATCCCTGGGAAGGTTGTGACTTTTATCAAAAGAGACGAGAGGAATGAGCGTCTCACAGCTTCTTGGCTCAGAGGTTAAAAGCCTAGGACTTGTCAGGCAGGGCTGAGGGGTTCTACAAAAGGTCAAAAGGTCTAAGTAGCTAGGGGTAGGATTGTCAGCTGATATGTTTCAATTCGTTAGTAGGCTATCGATATATCGGATCGAAAAATAAAATATCGATATAACTTATCGAAAAGAAATCATTGATAATGGGCCTAATGAATGTTCCATTTAACAGGAAAGTAAGTTACGGTACCGTTAAAAATATCCTAACAAGCTTATCTACCTTGAACAAATATCTTAAGCTTACTATTATAATTTGGACTTTTCCAACGTTTCTTGTGTTTAAAAAAATAACTTGCTCAACAATCCTGGAGGTGGATTTCACTTGGCAGCGGGAGAAGTTGATCCACCTCCAGAAACTTTGTGTTGGAAGAGTCCAAATAATAATAGTTTTCAGAAACCAACGGGTGATGTAGTCGTTTCTCCCAAAAGTGCCAAGGAAAAAAGTTTTTAAATTAGCCTAATTTTGGATTAGTAGATAGGGAGAGCAATATAAACATAACTTAAGTATAAGTTCAGTACTTATTACCTTTTGAATTTTACCATTTGCCCATACGGTAATGCTTCACCATTTAGGCCTAGCTCCCTAGCTGCCAATTTCAAAGAGAAGGCCTAGGTATGGTATCAACAATAACTTACCTTGGCTGATTTTGATGAATGGTGCTAGGGTAATTAGGCTAGTTGCAATATATGCATACATGCTGAAAGTAGTTGACAAGAAATAATAGGTATAACCATCGACAACACCAATTAATAATAGCTAGCCTTATTAATAATTTCTGTCACAAGCAAAATTGTAATGAAACAAATACTAAAAAAAGAGACTGACTAAGTTAAATAAAACAACTAACTAACAATAACAAAGGATGGATTCTGGGGTTCTAGTACAGTATAGCATAAAGACAGCTGAAAGCAGATAGTGAGTGATAGCTGACACTGACACTGGCACTGACAGGGACAGGGGACAGCGACAGCGGACAGCTGAAAATCTCTTTCATTCCTTTTCCTTCTTTGTTGTTGGGCTCCCGGAAACTGTATTATATATATGCATAGGCTACCTAGATTACCTCGACAAAGCATGTTTGATTGAGAGTGGAATCATATTGGCATAGATTAAACATACTCCTCAAGGTAGTGTACTTAAGTTAGTGTACCTCAACAAGGAGTCCTCAAGGTAGAGTACTCCTTGAGGAGTATGTTTGATCTATGATATTGGCTATTGCAAAGGTGGAATGGAACTACTGTAATACTGTATACGGTTTTCATGGTCTGGTCAGTTCCATTAGGCGTGCTCGGGTGTGCTATTCCACGGCCGCCTTTAACTCCAGACCGCGGCCTTCGAAGTGGCTACGTCGCAAGTGGTGTTGTAACAGCTGTTTTGTTTGGAAGCAGTTAATGGTATTTGTGCATTTTTTTATAATATGAAAGCTTGTTGACTGGGCTATGGAAATATTAAATCTACTTTAAATATACAAAAATAGATTTTTAATTTTGTTTTGGTTTTCAATTCTATGTGTTTTATTTTCAATGGTGTAAATACAGTATATTGATTGCCCAGTAACAAAGCTTACGTATTTACAAAAAAATACACAAATACACATTATAGCTGCATCCAAACAAAACAGCTGTAACAGCACTAGGTACTGAACAGTACCACTTCGATCTAGAAAAACTAGTTTTTCTAGTGGGTCATTGCTTCGATGGCCGCGGCCTGGTAGAATTGGTCGCAAGTAGTGATGTTGCTGTTTAGCGCCAGACCCTGCGTCCCATAAGCTAACATGGCAGACAGGTGACACCCGCTCATTAGATCACACAAATACTTGAAGTGTGGTATTCATTAAAATTAAAATGTATGAATACAAACTCATTGAAAAATTTAAAATAGTGTTCTAAACCAAAACAATGTAAATTGAACATCTATTTCCATACACTTAAAATAGAGTCAATATTTTCATTTTCCCCAACTACAAAATATTTTGACATTACTGTTGCCACATAACAAAAAGAAATATGGTAATGGAACTGCTCATTTACAAATCACTAATGCAATTCTTTAACTGATGTTTAAAATCAACGACCAAACAGTTGTTATATCTATATAATTTCTTAGTCTGTATAATAAAAAAAAAACACTAGATCGCCAGCAGAACATAAGTCATACTTAACAACAGTAATTTTCAGTTTGTCTGTCTGGTCTCTGACTCTGACAGTGTCAGTCAGTCACTTCACTTCAGTATTCATTCATTTCCCAAATCAAATTAGTTATGTTGTTTCCCCTTTTTAGAGTATAATATACACATTTATGTCCTTAGTAGTGTATTTGATTAATGCTTGAATACTTACTTTATATTTGAGTAAATTAACTCGAGTTGTTGTAACAGCGTACAACAATGACAATGGGAGATGAGACACCAGTTACTTCACTAGTTCTTCCTGTACTGATACGTCCCATTTTGTCTCAGGTAATTGAGTACAGTATTACTAATTCAAATTAAATAATATAAACATATTGTTCTGAGCAAAAGTTATGTTACTATCCAGTAAGAGTAAAGAGCTGTGGTTTATGGTGTGCATGGTGGTCCAATCAGACTAGACCTTCCTGGGTTTGAGCTGTCACTTTCCTTTTCCTGTGATAGGATACAGAAATAGTTTTGCTATTGAAATTTCCAAATAGGGATGTGCATCAATATGTTACCGATAAGGTGGGTACAGTTTCTTAACTGGGCTTTGCTAATATCGATTGAAACTATCGATTCGATTAGTAGAGGTCGTGCGGAACGAGGTGAAGCCTGAGATTTTCGGCGGGAACGGTCCAAAGCGGGGAAATCCGTGGTGAGGGTAGGAGACAAGCCGATCGTCGCCTCGCATAGCGACACTTCCCTCACCACACCACTATTCCCCTCCAAGCTTCACCTCGTCCCGTATGACCTCTAAGCCTTCATGCGATTTTTTCATCATCAGAAAGTTTGGTTGGTTAGGTTAGGTTATGATAGTTTAACCCTCCGAGTGTCATGCGTCGCTGCAGCGACGCGTAACGCACTTTGTATAGTGTCGTGCGTCGCTGCAGCGACTCGCGAACACTGTTTACGGCGAAGGCTCTATGACTAACTGAATCGGACTGTACTGGATTGAGTTAGGTATCGTTCTGTCCGTAATATTCTAAGCTTTCTGCAGAGGTCTGTCTCTAAGCACTATTCATTTTAGTTCCGAAAATATTGTAGCAGACAGCTGACTGAGCTGACGTGCGTGTATTTGTAAACAGCTAGGTTACCCTCGGACCGATGACTGATGTGTTTTATTACGTTTATCATTGTTTTAGTGTTAAAAATCAAAAGTAGTGATATACGTGGTGCATTATAAGAAGATTTAAGTGGTTTTGAAGTGCTGGTTGATGATCCTGAAGAAGTAGGTAGTGATATTGATGTAAATTATCAGCCAGATTCCTAGCTATGGTTGGGCTATGCATTCTTAGCTAAACGCTATGTACTGAAATCTGTTTTTTGCCCATAACTTTTTTATTTGCAAATCTACTTCCTTATATTATTATAGATTTGTAATCCTCATAAAATTTAGAACAAAGTGGCTATTTTCAAATATTTATAGGCCTATAATTTATACAATTTCATTGAGCGCAAACTTATTTTTTTTGAAAATTTTCCTTATGTTTTATATATAATATTGAAGCCCAAGATTTTCCAAACAAAATGGTATATAGAACAGTATAATTAACATTGTTTTTAAGCTTCTCAGATCAGTTTTAATAAAACCTTGCAAATGAGCAAAAAATAGGCTGACATTAAGGCCAAAACACGTGACACTCGGAGGGTTATTTTCATAATAGAAATATGTCAAAATATCAGTTATTAACCAATATTTTCAATTCGATAGTTTCAATCGCTATTAGCATAGCCCAGTTAAGAAACTGTACTCGATAAGTTTATATAGCCTA